GATGGTCTTTCCAGTTGGACTTTAAAATGTAAGAGTTTTGCCATTTACGGCTTAGACGGGTAGGCGGTTCCATGGGTTTATAACCCTGTGGGTGAAAAAGCATCTCCGGTTCTCAATCCTACATTGTGGCTTGTTGAGATTGAAATTGTTGTTCCTTGAACAAATCCACAAGGCCCGTGATGAGGGTTCGAACCTACGTCCAAGATGATCCCAAACTCGCCTTAGTCGATTGCACTACGACATGGTAAAAGCTTGTTGACATTAGAACAGCTTGTTGACAGAGCCCGGGTGCATGAGGGGGGAATTGTGTAAAACCCTGGTTTGTGTCTCGGAGAGGTTGCAGGATTCGTGTGAGGGCAGTAGTACTCCCGGTTGCAATTCTTTTTACCATGCTATGGGACAATCGACTAAGGCGCGTCTGGGATCATCCTGGACGTAGGTTCGAAACCCTCATCATGGCCCTTGTGGATTTGTTCATTTGTTGTATCACGCTATTGTGATTTGTGTGTGTGTTGCTCCTTGTTTGTGTTACATTTGACCTTTTTGAAGAAATTGTCCAGATCAACATCCATCCAAATTGTTCAGTATGTAACTGTTCAGTATTTATTTTAAAAGTTTCGATGAGGTCTGCCATGTCATGCCTGGTGTGTAGTGTTGTTAGCCCTGTGGCCCCCAACCGTTCCTGGTATGTCAGCTGACTTGGCTCTGGAATTATTTTTGTTGCCCAGTGTTGCACTTTCTCCAGTGTAGCTATGTCCTTCTGAAGATGTGGTCTCCAGGCTTGGATTCAGTAATGTCAAACTTCAAGCCTCTGTACTCTTATAAACCCAATGTGTCTTATTGTATATAAATAAATAAATAAATAAATAAATAAATAAATAAATAAATAAATAAATAAATAAATAAATAAATAAAATAAATAAATAAACGTCTCTCACGTCTGGTGCACATCATCTATTGTAACAGATGGGACCCCTCCTATTTCTTATATACATCAATGATCTGCCTAATATCTCTAAGATTCTGACACCTATATTATTTGCTGACGATACTACCCTCATCTACTCAGACCCCAACCCCCACACACGAAATAATGTTGTAAACAATGAACAAAAAAAAAGTTCACTTATGGATGTCCACCAACAAACTCACACTAAACATAGAAAAGACCTACTACATCTTATTTGGAAGCAAATCAACAAATGCAATTCGACTTCAGATAGACAATGCTAACATCAATACAAATGATGGAAAGTTCATTGGTCTATACTTAGACCAATTAGATCATTATGCAGTCTCCGTGGTGTAGTGGTAAGACACTCGCCTGGCGTTCCGCGAGCGCTATGTCATGGGTTCGTATCCTGGCCGGGGAGGATTTACTGGGCGCAATTCCTTAACTGTAGCCTCTGTTTAACGCAACAGTAAAATGTGTACTTGGATGAAAAAACGATTCTTCGCGGCAGGGGATCGTATTCCAGGGACCTGCCCGAAACGCTACGCGTACTAGTGGCTGTACAAGAATGTAACAAGAATGTAAGACAAGAAACTCAACTTCAGCACCCACATACAACACATAACCAAGAAAGTCTCAAAAACGGTTGTTAAGGCTATCTATGTACATTTCTTATTTGTATATCTATATATATCTGTAGGTAACAGGAATTATTTCTTTCCCTGTCATTACTGGAGTACTTAGTTAATTTAAAGTCTTATAATATTATGATTAATACACTTATCTGTAACAGCTTGGGGCGCCTAAATCTATTAATTATCCTTATTCTTTCCACAGCGGTTAAGGTGGTGGTAGGGTTGTTGGTTGGTCGTTAAGGATTATGCCACTCAAGGGGTGGCACGGGCACGCTTCGCCGGAATAATCGTATGATATTATACAACTCATTTTATTCTGACTAACGACCAGTTAATTAAAAAATGCTGTTGACAGGCCGCATTGACGTAATATCACGCTTGATGCGGTGCCCCCCCCCCCCCCTTTGCATTTTGGGGGTGTGGGTTGTTCTCACATATTCATGCATTATTTGCAGTATATTACACGTTCATGTGAATTTAATGGCGTTCTATAGTACATGTCTACCCTATGCTTGGAACATTAGAAGGTCCCATCCTCCACTACGTTTCGTGGTAATTGGTCCACAATTTTAACAATCCTGTTATCGAACCAGTATTTACCCAAGCCTTTTTTAATACCTACGCTGTACACGTTCAAGGGAATTTACTTAAGTACTATAGTATGACGCAAAAATACAGAGTTGCTTATTCTAACTAAGGCTCAAAATCAGTGCAAGATTAGCGGAAGAACAACACCAAGCGTCTTGTTACTGATGCCTTGTTACGAGGGACGGTCGGAAAGCAAGACACACGCTCGTCCTGGAAGTCAGGACATTCAACAAGGATATGCACAACTTGGACAGATGTAATAGGACCCATAATCGCCACACCAGAAATAAATATCTCTTTGATATCCCCAGAGTCAAACTTAATCTGTGTAAACACTCTATGCAAATAAAGGGACCTAATCTATGGAACTCACTCCCTAATGAATTGAAAAGCTGTCCAACTTTTGCCTCATTCAAAAGCAAAACCAAAAAGTACCTAATTTCATCTTCATAGTTTCCTACCTTGTGCACTGCATCTAGTGCTACCCAATCCCTCAATCTTCATGCACTTAAGCCAAACAACTTTACCATTGTGTTCATTGCTGTCGTCTTATATGTGCTATCAATATGCTGTATTGTGCCTATAAATCTTTGTTAAATTACCAATCAAGCTGTCAGTGCTATCAACCAGAGCTACCGATGTGCTTTAATATACCTACTAATCTCTCCCATTTTTTTCTTGCAATGTACCTGTTAACATTTTATAAATTTTATTACCTATTTCAAATTATTTGTTAGATTAATAAAAGTTTCCCAGTTATCTTGCCTGAGCTCTGTCATGCACTCGATCCCTCCCCTTGGCTAGGGCTTTCTGAAAGAGCATTGCTGGCGTACGAGTTTCCCTATATGCAAGTCCAACTCTGTATCCACTGTACCTGTATTTAGTGCTACCCAATCCCAAATATATGTACCTAAGCCATATAACTTTACCATTGTAATCATTGATATCATCTTATATCATGGTTGTTATTTTGAACACATATTGTGTGCTACCCAATCCCTCAATATATATTCCTAAGCCTTACAACTTTACCATTAACCATTGCTGCTATCTTATCTTATATGTGCTATCAGTGTGCTTTAATGTGCCTACTAATCTTTGTCATATTATCAGTCAAGCTATCAATGCTAGCAATCAAAGCTTTCAATGTGTCTACTTATCTTTGTCAAATTTTCTTACATTGTATCTGTTAACATTTTATAAATTTTGCTAGAAATTACCTACTTTTTTTACTTAATATTATCTGTTAGATTAAAGACCTGCACGAAACGCTGTGCGTACTAGTGGCTTTACAAGAATGTGAACACATGCTATGTACTCTCATAAACATAATGTAACTTCTTGTATAAATAAATAAATAAATAAATAAATAAATAAATAAATAAATAAATAAATAAATAAATAAATAAATAAATAAATAAATAAATATATAAATAAATAAATACAGCAAATGTTGGTAAGTTATCATATTATCACTTTTTATAGTATATATATATATGCAGAGATAATATTAATAAGATCATTAAAATCGTGTAGTGTACTCTATGTTTTAAAATATATTACTTTGAAAACCGTACCAGTCACTAGTTTACTTAGTTAGTTTAGTTCATTTATTATGTACTCCATACCCATCTTGTGGGCGGTAGTGGAAAGGGTTACAGAGGCACATAATGCACAATTCATTTAGCTAAGCAAGTTACACTCTTCATGAACTAGTTACAAAATTCAATATAAGTCGTCACATCAACAATGGGTTCGAGATCGACCTCAAGTACAGGTTCTAAATTAAGCAACTGACATATGTGGAGAGCTAGTGTCAAAATTTATGTTTGTCCTGCACACCAGCGCAGGCGGGAGAGGTACATAATAATTTACACGTGGAAAATATTAGAGGGGCTGGTCCCAAACCTGCACACAGAAATAACATCACATGAGACCAGAAGACATGGCAGGATGTGCAGAATACTCCCGTTGAAAAGCAGAGGTGCAACAGGTACTCTAAGAGAAAACTCTATCAACATCAGAGGCCAGAGACCGTTCAACACGCTTCCACTACACATAAGGGGCATAACTGGCCGACCCCTCACAGTGTTCAAGAGAGAACTGGATAAGCACCTCCAAAGGATACCTGATCAACCAGGCTGTGATTCATACATCAGGCTGCGAGCAGCCGCGTCCAACAGCCTGATTGATCAGTCCGGCAACCAGGAGGCCTGGTCGACGACCGGGCCGCGGGGACGCTAAGCCCCGGAAGCACCTCAAGGTAACCTCAAGGTAGGTAACCACATAGTGACGGAGGGGTTTGCGAATAATTTTGTTGGCACAGTTTACATTTGGTCAGGTCTACATCAGCAGATAATGAGAATTCCCAGAGATACTTGTAACCGAGTCTAAGCCGAGCAGTATTAACATCTAGAAGTCTGCTGATTTTATTGGATGATCCATAGATGTGTGGCTCCTCTTGGATGATAGTATGATGATAGATGGAATTACTGGTGTCAATTTCACTTTGCCTCAGATCTACAAGATCTTGTTGAAGTTCTCGGTGTACTGCTGCTCTCAGATTGCTCATTGACAATCCAAGGTTACACTCAACGGCTCCTTTAAAGGCAGATTCTTTGACTAACTTATCAGCTCTATCATGCATTCGGAGGCCAACATGAGATGGAGACCACATGAAATGGACTCTGTTACCATCCTTAATAATTTTGTTGTATTTGTGTCTAGCTTCGGACACGAGCATGTTACAGTTATGTCTTAAAGAGTTGTACCAGTCACTAAAAAAACAATTGGGATACTTTTATACAGAACCGCTACTTTTAGACCGTCAGCCCGCTACTTTTAGCAATTCAAATCTGGCAGCCCTGCACTGCGGTGAACTTTGTACACAAGCATTATAGAGGAGACGATGGCTGCTGTAGGCCGGCTGCTGCCCACTTTCTCTAGGGTATCTCGCCCCTTCGCCTTCGCCCACATAGGTTTGATGATGTTGAATCTTAATTATGATTAAGTTATATATAAAGGGTTCACAATAACAGCAAAACTCGGGTTGACATGTAGGATGAGGAAATAATTTACCTGCGGGCCACCAACAGTTACAGCCCCGCTCCTGTTCCAGGTTTTATTTTATTTTAATTTATTTAATTTTATTTATATTTACAAGAGTTCATACACTCTTGTAAAGCCACTAGTATACATGACGTTTCGGGCAAGTAATTAATCATAATTTTTCCCCAGAATACGACCCCCGCCAAATCGTTTAAAACAACCAGGGGCCGGATTCAGGAAGGTACTTAAGAAGGTTTTTCTTCTTAGCTACGAATGTTTTCCTTCTTAGCGCCTTCGTGGCGTTGTTGAGTGCTACCGTGCTACTTGGAACAAAGTTCCAAGTAGCACGGGCTTTGGTGAGCCCGTAGTGCCTTCTTCGTGGCGGCTACGTCGGTATTAAGTAGCTACACTAAGTGGAAAAACCTTCGTAAGTTCATTCCAGGATCTAAGTGTGGTTTCGACCACTCGTAGCTTTACGTAAACTGGATATGTCATTTTTTTCTCTACTACATAACACTGGGATCGATTTTAAGATTTTGGAACATAAACAAAAGATTATAAAAATTTAATCTAGTGAAGAGGAGTCCTTGTTAGTTATATATGCATTCTCTGCTTGAAACTTAAAGTAAATATGTCTTTTATGATAGTAGAATTAGTTTTATAATAGCAAGATATTATACCAGTAGTTATTAAGTAAATAAACACTGGTGAACATGAAATATGAGAGAAGGTGATGAGCCCTGCCTGATGGGATCATTTACTATCACCAAATGCCCCTGTTCACCTAGTAGTAAGGGTGTACCTTGGCACAATTTGGCTGTGTGTAACCAAACTAGAAGTGCTCTACAAATCAAGGGACCCAGAATGTGGAATGACCTCCTGAATCATGTCAAAGGCTATTTTATGTCCTACCTACCTTACCTCAAAGTAAGGTAGGTAGGACATAAAATATAAATATGCTGCACAAATGATGTTAGGTAAGGAGAAGGGTAAAAATGTCAAAAACTTTATTCATTGAATACTTAAAGCTATAATTATGACTATATAGACTATTAAAAAAGAGAGAGGGAAGTAGGGGTCCAAGACCTCTTCCTGTTATACAATTTGGGTGTGGAACAAGTAATTATCAAAAGAAGGCACCATGCCGGGAAGGCTATGTAGCAGTAAGGCAGTGAGGTGAGGCAGCTACTTATTTGAGAAATGCTTATTTTATTTACCTTATAAGCTGAGGCAACTTATTTTATTTGAGGAATACTCAGCTGATTCCTCTACATTTAGCATGGAACAAATTTGTGTCCAAGACCTCTTCCTGTTACTCAATTTGGCTGTGTGTAACCAAACTAGAAGTGCTCTACAAATCAAGGGACCCAGAATGTGGAATGACCTCCCGAATCATGTCAAAGGCTGTACCTCTCTCAACCAGTTTAAGAGTTAAACCAAGTACTGCCTAATTAACTCCATGTAACCTAACTTACCTCCTAAATGTCAACCCATGTCTTACTATTTTTTAAACAACACTGTTCACCAACATGTGCAATTGCTGATTTATGCTATGTTAACCCCCCTTTTTGTATTTTGTATTCCTTCTTTCAACACAATTTATACCTAATCCCGATTACTATTAAGTTTTAGTCTGTGTTTTTTCCCCCCACACCTTGCCCGAAATGCTATGAGTATTAGTGGCTTTAGGTATTGTATGTACTCGCTCTGTCTATAAATCCAACATTATGTTTGTAAATCAACTGTATGTACTTTTCCTAAATAAAATGTATTTATTATTTATTTTTTAATCAGTAAGTATTAAAAGAAGGCACCAAGCTGGGAAGGCTATGTAGCACCATTGTGTGTAACAATAAAGCAAATTTTTTTAACAAATAATGCACCTGTATGGTAAAATAAATCCTGTCAGCTGTAAAAATATTGATGCAGGTATTTAAATGAAAAATATAATGAAAGAAATATTACTGGTTTATTTTTATCCTATCTTTTTGTACTGTACAGTATATCCAAGGAAGTGAAAAATTGAGACATAATGCACAATTTAATGAATGATTAGCATGGATTAGCAGTTCAAAAGAAATATGACTATTACATATCCTTGGTTACCTTGAGGTGCTTCCGGGGCTTAGCGTCCCCGCGGCCCGGTCGTCGACCAGGCCTCCTGGTTGCAGGACTGATCAACCAGGCTGTTGGACGCGGCTACTCGCAGCCTGACGTATGAGTCACAGCCTGGTTGATCAGGTATCCTTTGGAGGTGCTTATCCAGTTCTCTCTTGAACACTGTGAGGGGTCGGCCAGTTATGCCCCTTATGTGTAGCGGAAGCATGTTGAACAGTCTCGGGCCTCTGATGTTGATAGAGTTCTCTCTCAGAGTACCTGTTGCACCTCCGCTTTTCAACGGGGGTATTCTGCACATCCTGCCATGTCTTCTGGTCTCATGTGATGTTATTTCTGTGTGCAGGTTTGGGACCAGCCCCTCTAACATTTTCCACGTGTAAATTATTATATATCTTTCCCGCCTGCGCTCAAGGGAGTACAGATTTAGGCTCTTTAGTCGGTCCCAATAGTTTAGGTGTTTTACTGAGTGAATTCTAGCAGTATAGGATCTCTGCATGCTCTCCAGGTCGGCAATTTCTCCAGCTTTGAAAGGGGCTGTCATTGTGCAGCAGTACTCCACTCTAGAGAGCACAAGCGTTTTGAAAAGTGTCATCATCGGTATAGCATCTCTAGTGTGAAATGTTCTTGTTATCCAACCTGTCATTTTTCTTGCAGTTGTGACGGCTACTTTATTGTGTTCTTTAAAGGTAAGGTCTTCCGACATGAGTACAACCAGATCCTTTACATTGCCTTTTCGTTCTATGTTATGATTTGCCTGAGTTTTGTACGTGGTTTCCGTTTTTATATTTTCATTTTTTCCATAGCGCATGAGCTGGAACTTATCTTCGTTAAACACCATATTATTTTCTGTAGCCCATAGAAAGACCTGATCTACATCTGACTGGAGGTTTGCCGTGTCCTCTATGTTGCCTACTCTCATGAAGATCCTAGTGTCATCTGCAAAGGATGATACAGTGCTATAGGTTGTGTTCTTGTCTATGTTCGATATGAGGATGAGAAAAAGTACTGGAGGAAGCACAGTACCCTGGGGGACTGATCTCTTCACGGTTGATGGGCTGGATTTTATTTTGTTGACTATTACACATTGGGTTCTGTTGGTCAGGAAATTGTAGATCCATCTGCCTATTTTTCCGGTAATTCCTTTTGAACGCATTTTATGTGCAATAACGCCATGATCACATTTATCAAAAGCTTTTGCGAAATCTGTGTAAATTACATGAGATCTTAATGATCCATGGTCAACATGATTTAATAAGGATAATACAGTACTGTATTTGTAATAATACAAACTATAATTTAAAATCTTTATTACTGTTTTTTTTTTATTAAGAAGATTAGGTATACACAGCAATGTGCTGCTACCCTATTCTATATGGAATATTACACAGTGTAGATAAACAACTAGCTATAAGTTTATCTAATACTCTCATCTCACAGGATGGTTAGACATACTGTACATGGAATCAATTTAGAAAATACCAGCCTCAATAAAAAAAATAAATTAACTCTGACTAAACAACTCTTTGCGATTTTCACAAGAGGTAAGCACTGAATCATGGAAACATTATATTATAATTACTCTTACCAGTTTCTACAAGACTCCTCTCAAACAATGTATTTTTAAACATGTTTAGGTATACACAGCAATGTGCTGCTTCCCTGTTCTGTATAAAGGACCACACAGTGTAGATATAAAACCAGCTACAAGCTCATCCAACATTCTCACCTCACAGGATGGCCAGTCATACATGGAATTAGGAGAGAACAAAATACTTAATGCTGATCTATTAGCCTCCACTGGCAAAATCTGGGTGCAGCACAAGAATATCTTCCAATATTCCTGAGTGTATGAAGTAATTACAGAGCTCAAAATACCTCATACCATTTGGTATGAAGTCACTGATAACAGGGCAATCACAGATATAGTGTTGGAGAGTATGTTCTCTCAAGTAGGACTGAAAACAGATGTTTTTTCCACCAAGAGGGCTATAAACCCATGGAACTGCCTACCCGCTGAAGCCGTAAATGCCAAATTCCAGCTAAAAAATATTAAGACGATTGGCGGGCCCTTTAACAAGCCACCGGCTTTCTGTCCTCTTCGAGGCCACTAGATAGTTAGTGGCCCTTGGGTAAATTCAGTAAATATATACAATAATTGTCAGCGCATCTTCCGAGCAACAAGGACAGCTACACAGTATCTCTTAGAATTACGTAGGTAAACAACAAATGTAACATATTTGTTTACTACAATGTTGGTGCTGGCTGTAGAAGTTGAAAAAACATTGTTTTACTTTGAAATATACTAACTTTATAAGAAAATTCGACGTAAATAGGAGGCAGTAGAGCTCCGATAAGCCAGCGCTAAATCTTCAATATGAAGAATAGTGCTGCTCTCTGATTGGCCAAACGAAACACAGTAGTGACCTCTATCGGCACGCAGGTGAACCAGCAAATTTCTTCCTAAGTGGACGTTATTGAATTACACCTAAGCATCTTCTTAGGGCACACTTAGGAACCTTCGTAGCAAACCCACTTACGAAGAAATACACAGCTTCCTGAATCTAGGTCCAGGTACCCATTCACTGCTGGGTGAGCAGAGGCTACAGTTAAGAATTGGTGCCCAGTCAAGACTGGGCAGCAGTCCTGGGTTAGTATCCCGGCCAGGATGCAAACCCAGGCCAAAGTGCTTGCGAAGCATGGGGTGAGTGTCTTACCACTCTTACTTCTATGGGCTACAGAAAATAATATGGTGTTTAACGAAGATAAGTTCCAGCTCATGCGCTATGGAAAAAATGAAAATATAAAAACGGAA